ATGTAGAGGAAAGATAAAAAAATAAGATAACACAAGCTTTATCCTTTAATTATTGTCCCTTTATCGTTTTCAATTAAAAACAGGAGACACATTGACACAGTTCATTCAATTATGCAAACTAAAATCCACACACTGTAAAATGAGCCCTTATTATGACCAGAGCTTTGATATACCAATGCAAGGAAAGGCACCAGACGCTCCCTTGCCTGGGAGACTTGCACCTGACCTGCTTTGGGCTCTTTACAAGGCCATACGGCTCAATCCTACGGCTCAAAGCCACACATCTTCAAGGGGACCGGGACAATAGAAGACAATAATGTCTCAACCAGCACAAACAGAGAGGAGCTTTGAATACGCAGAGCTCACCAAACATCGCGACTTGCTCCACTATCAGCAGGATTATCTGCCCAGAGCTAAACACACTTTTGTTTTCCCAAAGCTTTACGGCTTCCCTCGGTTAGAGGCCGAATCAAAGCTTTCAGTAAAATGTGTGGTAACGTTTAGGACATGGTTAGGGTTAGACAGCCGTCCCTGCAACTGACAATAACACATCCAGGGTTCAAAAATGTCATATTTTGAACATCCTTTAGCAGCAACCACACAAAGCTGTTGTGTGGCTTTCAGGGCATTCGTGTGTTTTTTGTGTGTGTTTTTTTTTACAATAGATCTGATAGGCTTAAAGAATGTGTTGCTGTGAATGTGGAAGTCGACTGTTGTGTTGTTATCCTTGGGTGTGTTATTGCTGCGATCGGTGTGTGAGCTGCAACTCAACAATCAAAGCGACAACACTTGAGATGCTCTTAAGGTGTCCAGCTGCCTGAGATCGATGTTCACCTTGGCTGCTGTTACTTTATCGATCGGTCAGCAGCTACTTCGATGAAATGTGAAAACACTATGCTCTTGTGTTTCTTTCGCTATTGTGCACTTATTTCTCTAAGCAGTATGCCACAGGTCTTCTATACATTGTTACATTGTAAAGGAGAAAGTATACAATATATGTCAATGGAAGAGGCTTCCAGGCCCAAGACCTTGGAGAAAAGTTAACAAATGATCCCTCATCTCGTTCCTATTTAGTCCAGCGACTTTCTGAGAGCACCATAACATCCTTTAAGGGCAAACATGTTTGATTCTTAATCCTTTTACCAGAGGTGATTTTTAACTACTTCCTGGTCCCCTTTCAGTCAAGTCAATGGGTCTGAATCCTGATCCGCTGCAGGCATCCTCAGGCCCAGTGAGCCTTAACCTTGGAGCCTTAACCCCCCCCCAAAAAAAAAAAAAAAAATAGAAGAAAAAAAAGGTTCAGGCCAACAGGGAAGGAGACAGGGTTGTTGGAGGTGTGTGGAGAAACCGAGAGCCTGGCGCATTATATGCTTTAACATGACTGGCAAATCCAGCCTGGTTAAACAAACTTAACCTTCATTTGTGAAACGGTTCAAATCAAAGGGCAAAAAACGACTTGTGCAAGTAATTACCACCGGGGGAGGGGGGGAGCAACAGGGCAGAGGAAGGATGGGGAGGGGGGGTCAGTCTCAGGGACAGCTAGGCGTTAACAGGTTGAATGGAGGAAATGGGAATCATTTAAGGTGAGGGGCATTTTTAATGAGTTTGCTCAGAAATTGATTTTCCACTGTAATCTTTTATTTATATGCGGCAGGCGGCGTGTCCCCTGCAGAGTGAGGGTCAGCTCTCAGAGCTCCCTGTCAAGGCCCCCGCTCGTTCAAACAACACCCCAAAGTCCAGGGAAAATGGTATTCTAGCTAAGGCAAATATTGTCCTGTCTTGGCTTAAGGGGCGAAAAAGCTGTTTGTTCTAAAAAACTCAATCTTTACTTTTTTTCCATCAGCTTTTAAGAGGAAAATGTTTACGAGGGGAACGGTGTCCTGAAAGATTATTTTAAAGTTAAAAGTGTGTTAAACTCCTTAAGTAATATTGATCAGAGGCATTTAATCACCATGAGAGGTTTTGGTAAAATTTGTATTTTGCCAATTTAAAAATATATGAATTGCACTGACTTTATTTTCGACAAAGGTAACCTAAATATTTGTACTTAAATTTTAAAGATTTATTTGATCAAACCAAGAAGTGTCAGGTAGACCTTAAGTTATTGGCCCTTAAGGTCTAATAGATAAATATTATATTATCTAGGAATATTTCACATAAATAAAGTACAGCCAAGCAACAAAGTCAGTTATCTGAATGTAAAGCTTAACTTTGAGAATTTTACAGATACATTTAAAAAGAAATGATCAAAACGCTTCTCATCCGATATCATAAAGTAATCAAGCCATGCTGTCGTGACCTTTGCTCATAGAGAGTGAGGTGGTAGAGTAAAAAAAAGGTTAAAATAATATTCATAGATATGAGCTTAATTAGCATTAAATGAAGGACATATTTTCATGAGTATGTGTACATTGTAAAAGGTGTGATAAGTTTAAGTGTTTGTTTCTTTGATACTTCATGATCATGTTGAGGATAAAAACTAAATTACAAAAGCTGTCCAGTGCATAGAAGAAGTTATACTGTACGTATATCGCTGTATGATATATTTATCACAATCATAAATTAACGCATATATTTCTTCATTATATTTATTATAAAGAATATTTTTATTGAGTTTTCAACAATAGTATACAGAAATAATCACAGGCACACACAAAGATATGTTTATATTTATTATAATGATAAATTAACATCACATTTGAACACAATTTTACCGGCCCTTATTCTACTAACAAGTTTGAATCAATATGTTCAGTTTTTCAGGATTATTTGTCATGTTCAATTAAATTCAAATTTTTCACTTATTGAATAATTTTAAGTTAAAAGGTGTCACGTTAATACGTGTTTCAATAAAGCAAAGCCTCTGTGTGTGTCTGTCTTCAGCCTCTGGTTCGGAGGCCTTTTACCCAGACTCTCACAGGCATCACTTTGTGCCTTCATGCAGCTGCAGAAGTTAGTAAAGGATTCTTCTGCCACCTAGTGGCAAAAGTTCTGACTACAGACTTGTAACATTTTTGTGTTGTGGGTATACAATAAGCACTAACACGTTTTATTTAAATTATTTTTTAGCATCTAGGGACAGAATTAAATGTTTGTTAAACAAATATATTCATTCAACTAGTATATTCTATCGGCTTCTTTACAGTCTGGCCGTCAAGTGTCTCGCAAAAATGATATTTGTAAAGGGATAGCGTTCAATATTTTGATTTGCTCTCTGTGTACATGCTGTATTTTACCGTCCAGTGTGTTCACCTTTCCACCAGTAGATTACTTTTCCCGCCTGCAGGCTGTAAACTCGATGTGACTATCCAAGGCCTTTTCTTCTTCCACATTTTTATCATGTTTTATACTAAACATATCATCGCTTGCTGAATTAAAGGAAGACAAAAAATAACAATTCTGACTTAAGATGTTTGATTAGAAGTTCATCACATCTCATTTTGGGAAAAGTAATTAATGCATAGCTGCCTTTTTTCATTTACATTACACTTTAATGAAACTGAAATCTGAGGGGTAAATGAATGCTTTCAGCTTCACATTAACTTTCAGCTTCCTATAAGACCTTAAAACATTTTCAACTTTAAGCTAATACAATTAATAGTTCTTTGTACTAGAATGTAACAATACAGAATAAGCAGTGATGTAGGGGTGCCTAAGGAAGTGGGTATACTCTCTTTCTTATGTGGCCCGTCCAGCAGAGGATAATCTTCCTCTGTTATAAGCAGTGATATGTAAGACTACTTTTGAATATTTAGTTTGTGCTTATATGAGCCATTTCTAGAGAGATTAGTGAGGGTCATCCGATCATCCTAGGAAAACAAAAATTGCAGCATACCACGGACATTGTCAATCAATCATTGATGTAAATCAGAGAGGATTTAGAAGTCGGTGTATCCTATTGAGACTGAAAAATAAGTGTAAGGCAGGCTGGCCACTAAATTCAGGAGATTCTGGGAAAATGCTGAGCTTCAATAGCTAGACAATAGTCAGCCAGTTTGTTAACAGTGATCAAAAATACTTTTCTTTTCTCTCTTCTTTCGGCCTTCGTGTAAAATTTTCTGTTTGCTTATTGTTGTGATGAGAGTCTTACTGCTTACTTTGAAACAAACATTCACTGGCATTATAAACATGACTTTGACCTTATTTTGTACTTAGTTGTGCATAAGAGATTATGTAATGTCCGTTTGTGATTGCAATAACCTGCTGACAATTTAATAACAATATAGATTTTTATTACATATTTATTTCTTCATTGCATTGTGAACTTGTCTTACCATCTTCATGAAAAGTTGCAGTCCTCCGTGCAATGTGAAGACATGCACTCTATCTAACTCTCCTTCACTGCATGTGTCTTCAAACCTTTTCCACCCGTGTTCAAGTACTTTTGATTTCATGCAGAGTTTCCCTAATTGGAGAATTTCTCTGTTTTATCTTTGAGGTGCTCGATGGAACTCTTTCACTGGTGATGGAGACATGAGGCACGATGCAGGGGCTGTTTTATACGTTTCATCCAGCAGGTGGCAGACTGAGATGACCTGTTGAACATTTTCCCCTACCACACTTTTTTTTCAATTTTAAAACCATTTACTTTCAAATGATGTTTTCATTGTAAGATGTATTGATATTTAATATATTCAGGGTGATTTCCTGTCTCATATAATATACATATATATTTCATCATGTATTTTATTTTTAGAATCCATAAAAGCTCATGCGATTTAGAGTTTGAAAAGACAAAATTGTAACTTCAACAGATCACTAAAATGATCCCAATTGAATTGTTGGCCTTTAAGTTTACATAGTTTATCATTAAAAAAACATGTATGAATGGATGAATTGATGCCTTATAGTTCTTCAAGGGAGCTCCGTCTGTTATCAATAATCACATGTATTTCAATAGACACATTATATGAATGTACACAGACATACAAACAAATGTTCATATTTATTATTTCATTAATCTTCAACAAGCAAGAAAATATACTCCTTTCTTCCAGAAATAATAAATATACAATATTTATTTATGAACAAAATGCACAATTTACAAAAGTGGCAACTGAGAGCTCCACCTCCTACAAAGTACAGCTGACTGTTTGCATTGAACTCATTAATCTCACTGTTATAACTAGTATCTTCTATTCTCATTATGGCTGTCAGTATTATTTCGCTCTACAGTATTAACATTTTTATTTGGTAGATTATTCCACCACACAAACTCTTCAAAGTTACAGGTCTTCATTGTGTTTGTTATTATATTATAATACTTTCATGAGGTTCCCCAACTCCTCCCTTTTAAGTCCCACACAGTCTTCTTGTTGCTTGATTCATGGCTGTGAGGTTATTCCACACAATTTGAGATACGTTTATAAAGACTTTTTGCAGACTGGTACTTGTTCCTTCCTATTGGCGATGGCCGACAGCAGGGTCATCCTACATAAGAATGTCTTCCTCTGGCTGAAAAAAACATTCATCTGTCTCTTTCCTGCACGTGCTGATGGTCATTCACTGCCTATCAGGTACATTGCACTGCTCTGGTACCGAGGCAGAAGTGTCTCAAGTTTTTGTCATTGAGATCAAGCTGTCTTCTGGTCAGGAGGTGAACAGCATGTGTGAAAGCAGCCAGGCTAAAATACAGGACAGTGTGACTGTGCTGTGGACTGAGGCTGGCTGTGCCGAGCTGGGGTTAGGCGGGGTGGAGGAAGCTGGACTGGGATGGCGCTCTGTAGTGAAGATCTCCACCTGTCTGCGCTGCTCCTGATGGGTCAGCGGAGGCGCCACTGTCACGTAACCATTGATTATCCTCACAGTAGGTGGTGGAGTAGTGCTGGATAAGAGCGAGACAACACAATAAATCCAGGTTACTAAAAGTATCTTCATTCAATTGCTTTATTCCATACATTAAAGGGGCTATATGTAACTTTTAACATGTATAAATCGTTTTTTGTCGCCCATTAATAAGCGAACGGTTATCTGATGTGAAAAAGTAGATGTTCACTGTCTATCTGTGTTGCCTCGGTCGTATTTTCAACGAAAGCTCCAGGAAGTGACATTTTATGCACGGTCTCAACGTCCTCCTCACTCCGCTCCGCTTACAGAGATCAACAGTACAAACTCATCACACACTCCCGCTACAGCCAGAGGCCGTCTTCCACACACTTCTATCCGCCCTACGAGCTCTCAAAGGCGGACAAACTCATCACACACTCCTGCTCTCAGCCAGTGCCTGCAGAGACTGTCGTTTGTAGGATGGAGAATGAATACAGACACACAGACTCCTTCACAGATTTTCTCATGTGTATGTCCACTTACCTCCTCTGTAAACATTATGCTGGTAAATATCCAGTGTTTTGCGGCCGATGATGATGCTTGTTTGTGTACGTATGAGCACGTATGACGAGCACGCGAGGGAGAGCGAGCAACAGGTTACTGGTTGCGGTGTCGCTACAAACGCAGTATTTTTGAAAGTCATATAGCCCCTTTAAGATAATTTATTTTCTAACATCTTATAATGAAATCTCACAATAGTATCTGAACCAGGACTTTATATTACTCTGATATATCCACATGATCTGAATCAAGCACCAAAAAGAGTTGCCAATTATCTTTTGTCACTCCTTATGCAAGTACTAAGACGTATTAACCAACCTACAAACCAACCAACCACAAAAAGGTCTCAAACTTCTGAGACAAACAGAGCAACCATTACTGCTGGCCACGCAACATCACCACTTCCTGGAGGCACTGATCGCACTATTTGACTAAACATATTTTGTTCCTCTTTCTAATCTTAGATCATGATAAGCCTGTGTACAAGACCGAGCATATGTCACCTCAGTTTGACCTGCATGACCTCCCGTGATGTCATGGTAAAGCAGATGTTAACAAAACTGTTACTACTATTACTACAAGTAATGCTAAGCTTCTCAGTGTTTAAAAAAAGAAGGCTCAGCACTTTGTCACTGGATTTTGAAAAGTGCTCTGTAAATAAAGGTTGTGATTATTATAACATGCCTGGGTGAGAGAACAGTAGGGGAGATGCATAAACATGGTTTGTGTTGTCTTTACAAAAGGACTGGACATCAGATAGTACCTGTTCATTCATCAGATGTATGCCAGCTAATGTTAGCCACAGTCGCTACAATTGTTACCATTTCTTGGAAACACAGTCACAATTTCATTAGACTTCTCTCTCTCTTTGGATACTAGGGTCTGGCTTTGAAAGTACTGATGTAATCACCAAGATTTTCAATCAAACATGACAGATATTATCTGGAAGGAGAAGTGAAGGGCTGGATCTGTGAATACCTCACATTACTTAAATATCTGGGCCAACAGCAATACTAACCAAGGTCCTAAACCATGTTCCTTTGATTGTAGGGAGTGATGAATGAAGTATAAATCAACCCTAAAGTCCTGTATTCTAAGCCAAGCCCAAGTTCCTTTGTGAAAAGTGAACTTATCATATTGGCTACCTGTCTCCAATTCGAACCCATAGGTCGCTGAATAGGCGGGGTCTCCCATGGCCGCCGCGGTGAGCTTTGTGAGGACGTTTGTGTCGGCCGAATTCCTCCAGCTGGCTCAGGCTGTCAGGGAGCAGCAAGTGAGGCAGCTCCTCGTCTCCAAGGCCAGGCATGTCCTCTGGTTCCTCCAGCTCAATCTCCGTCTCTGGTGGAGTGGTTAGCCAGCTGCTGGGAGATGCTGCGAATGTGTCTGAGATCTCCTCCTTTCCCCCTTTGGGTTTTTCAGTTGGTTTAGTCCTAAAGCAGAAAAAGAATATTGGGTATTAGTAAATTAAAGATACAATATGTAGAATTTCTACACTGAAAATATCTTAAGTAACTAAATAATGACTAATCATATGTTATATGTTGTTGAGTACTTGAATTACCTGAAATATTTCCAACAGTCACCAAAGTTAAAGAAATATTTAATAGGACGTGTCTTGCCGCAGCATCGCCATGAAGGAGCCGCCATGACAGACACGACATGTTTATTGTTGCCATTAACACACCGAATGTTACATCAAAGACTGCTACTCAAGGAAGCGGGAGCTGCTACTGAAAGCTGCCGTACTGTTGCTGTGTGTGCTGTTGTGATAAAAACGTAATGCGAATTATACTTATTTATACATTAGCTCGTCGTTAAACGTATTCTCTTCCTCAGGCCTGTTTCGCCTGTTTGACTTGAATACGGTCAACACAGAGTTTTTTTTCACCAGAGGTGGTGATGCAGTAGCAGAGAATCACTCCAATGATTCCCGATCAGCCTCAGTGTCATCTTTTGTTATTGTTTTGATTAAGAGCCCTGGGGCAATGGAATTTACATGCTAATCCTCTACTTAAAATAAAAGCCCTCAAGGTTTATTTTAACCTTAAAAAGTCTGAAATCAATTTTGACACGTTCACTTCAAGCTTTGACGTATGGATGGAAAACAAGTGTTTCTTGTGTCTCTGAGTTGATTGTATGTGAAACTTTGAGACCGTTTCATGTTTTTAAAGATTTTAAACTGGCTGCCAAACAATGTTATTGTTAGTGGTTTCAGACCACTCTATTGCTTTCCACTTCCAACTCTTGACTTTAATCAAGGACATGAACACCACATAGGACTCCTTGCCCATAAACGCTATATGAGCAGCTTCTAATGCCGCCCCAGCAGGCAGCTTTAGAAGAAGTTGTAACTCTTGTGGCCTTACTTTTTCGTCTAAACTGACATCTGCCCAAAGCAGACCACCCAGAAACACCGGCCTCTCCTCGAAAAAGGAGCTCCTCTTTCTTCCACCCATTACTCATACTTTCTCCTCTCTTGTTCTTTTCCTGTCAATATGGCTCGCATGTGACTTTGTGTTTTAAGGTAGAACATTCAAACAACCTACTGTGCTCTGTAACACTTTAAAAAGCAGTAAAAGTAATTTAAAAAAAATGTCCTGTATAGATGTACATCTATGAAATCATTTTAACACACATGATGATGTGAAAAATCAGAGCATGGATCTTAATCATTTCCACTGCTAACACATACTTGTTCTTCTCCATAGTCTTCATAAATTCAATGGTCTGCACTTCTACTTTAACAGTCCAGAAAACCATCCTGGTCAGGGTGCTGATAGCTGCAGGCCTGTGGTCCAGCTACTGTTGAGCCAAACCCTGCTTCAGTCTGCTCCGTCTGTCAGTCATATAATCACTCAAAAAGACCTTTTGCCAATCGGCCCCAGTCTGAGGCTAACAGCTTTCATAAACACCTCTCATTCAACCGTCTTGTGGTGTTTTCCCTCTGCTGTCACTTCACCTTGTGTTGGGGAGCTAAACGTGTCTGTGTGCCTGTACACATGTTAGTGTGTGGTCATGTGGTTGTGTGTGGGTGCAGCGTAGGCAAGTGTTTTGTGACCACAGTAAGTCAGTCCACTTGTTACATTTTAAACCAGAACTGTTGGATGAAGCCCCAAACTTAAAAACAGGGCGTGGGAAGATGGGCTGCTATGTTTACAGCTTTTCATTCATGAGAAATTTGTAAAAGCCTCAGTTAAATTGATGGATAGAGATGTTTTAAAGAGATTCCCCTTGCTTTGCCTCCTTTTTCCATTTCAACCCTGATTCAAGTGGCTTTAGTTACTGTTTTACAGGCCCATGGATCAACCCCCTAGGTGAGAAGGGTGCTGCTCTCTGCCAGGGAATGTGGCTGTACACGCACACTGAGATATTAAGAGAGATTGTTGAAAGTTTTTATGAGGAAATGCAATAGGATGTCAAGCAAACGTGTCTCTCCTTAAACTGACTCTACTAACACTGCATGCAAGTGTACTTGTGTGTTTGTGTTGACCGTGGTATTGATGGCAGCTGAGAACAGGCAGAACCACTTCTGGCAAACCGCCTTTGGCCGGCAGGAGAGAGAAGGAGGGAGGAAAGAGGGGAGGGAGCCGGGAGGAAGGTGAGGGAGTTGATGTGGTATCAAAGGATTTCTGCATAGCTGAGCTTTACTTGTTGCAGAGCACTATTTTGACCATATCTTGATTGCACTTCAATAAATCTAATGAGATTAACTTGACTCCAGATGAAGATAGATTTTGACTGGCTGAGTTGTTTCCTTTTTCTCTTTCTCCTGTAGATTAATTGTATGTGTCTTCACACCAGTCAAAATCTTACATCGTACGAGTGCTCTTTTACAAAGGCCTTTTTACTCAAACATTATGGTTTATCTTCTGATGCATATCACACCTACTCTTCCTTTCCTTACGTCACCATGTCAGGTTAACGTCTATTTGTAAACCTGACAGGGTAACTGTTGACTGATGACCTGTGCAAAACTAGAATTCTCCAGGACTCATGACTTAGTTACATGGGAATTATGTCTTTGTTTGTCTAACTAATGTAATTAAATCAGATTACTTTCTGTTATTTTTTGTTGTTACTGCTTACTCACTCTGTGACTGGCTCCTGGTGATCAGAGGGCATGTGGATGATCTCGTAGCCCTCCTGCCTCAGGATGTCCAGCACACTGTGGTTCCCAAGGAAGTGACCTAACAGTAGGCAAAAGCCAAAAGTCATGACATATCTAAGAAGCAAGGAGGTAGTTGTATGCACATCACTTAGGTGCAGGGCAGTGCAAAATCAGCAAGAAGCAAGACAGAGTTCAAACCAGATGTAAGACAATAATATCTCAACAACTTTTGGCTGGATGGCTTTTAATTTTGTATAAGCATTTATGCTTTCCTGTCCGTGTGATCATGCTTATCCCCTGACTTTTAATATAACTGTACACCACTATCAGGACAAATTCTTAAATTGTCATTTATGACCCTGTCAAATGTAGTCAGGGTTTGGGTGGAGATGGGGTATAGTTTGGGGAACTGTAGGTACTTTGAAGACCAGCCAGGCTACACTTTAAAGTGAACTGCAGAGTTGCTATTGCACATGAGGCACATATTCCAGGAGCGTGTTGCAGTTGTCTTGGCACAAGCCGGGACCTGTCCTGCAGTCTGTGTGCAGAAATGACCAATCCTATGATGTTGTGATGAAAAGATTACTTTACTTTTTACTTTTAGTTCTGTGCAACTGTACAGTGAGAAAAATTAGCAAGACATCCAGAGATTTGTGCTGCCACATAGGCCCTAAACCATGAAAAGACTGAATTATTAAAGTGACATTTTTATAGCATTGGTAAAAAAAACATTTGAGTGAATAAGTGACCAGATGCATATAGGAAATAAAGTGGGGGCCCAGTACAAAACCCTGAGGTTCCCCAGTTGGGTTACATTTTTTTCAGGTAAAGTCTTGCCAACCTTTAGATGGACTTCCAGTATATATGGTATAAACAATCAGCTATCCCCTAGGATAAATTGTAACAACTTATATTTTTAAATTTTGACATTTGTTTTTGTATAAACCTGAAAATCAAAACCTAAGGTCAACACTTGATATGTCCCAACTCAACAACTCAGAACCCTTCCCTCACCAAAACAATATTTTCCCACCAAAGGTGTAGGGACACTATATATGGTGTGAATTACAGTCCTGTTATATAGACTGAAGCAAAAAAATGGATTGTGGAGGATCTGAAGAAAAACAGGGGTTGTTCAGAAGCATGTTTGCTCTTCATTTGCAAGGCCCCCTTGTTGCTCCGTAATGACCCCATATTGCCAGCACTCAACCTTACACCTCCACTCCACCCATCTCCCACTTTCCTTCTCCATATGTATGATTCCTTCAGACTAACATCAAACATGTGGGCCTCAGCCTTACAATGATAAAAGCTTTTCTTTATTTCTCCCATCAGCCGATAATCCTGCATGTCACTCAACCAGCAATAAACTGTAATGTAGCCTGACATCTCCCTTGATTCTCACACAACACAGACCCTAACAAAAGAGCTCACATTTTTGCTCACAAATATTCACAAACCTACACACAAAATATTTGCAGACACACAGGAATTCACACACTCACACACCCACACACCTTACTTTTCTTCTGAAGCGTATTAACAGCACATTGACAATATTCACTATTGCTTGTTCTTTGTCAGAGCCCTCTGCACCCACTCTGCTTCTCACCCCTTGCCAATTTTATCATTATAATGTTCCTGATCATTCCTGAAAGTCAAAGAAAGAGGCGCACGGTTTTACACTTTCTTGGCAGCAGAGTTCAAAGGCAGTGCTGGGATAGGCTGCAGAGTGAAAGAAGGGTTCTAACAACAAAGTGTTGCCGGGCAAGATCAGATGAGATTACACAGAGGGGAGAGTGAAGTTTTGTGTGGAGGGGGGTGTATAGATTTGTATGTGTGTGTTCCTGTTTTGCCATACGGAAGAAAACTTAGCTGCACGACAGTAGAAGTAAGGTCTTATTCAGTGTCCTTGTTTCTTAAAGAACTTTCTCAGTTGTGTTCCCTACGTAGTGCAACTCCCTCATGACTGCAGACACTGCATCTGTCAATCTCATCTATTTTACCCACTCTCATGAACATGACCCCAAGATGCTTTACGGTAGGTCCTTGCTTGAGGCAGAATTTTCCCAACAGGAAGGAACGGTGCATTGTTTTGTTGGTTTAAACTTCTGTGTCAAATGTATGCCATAGCAGAGGTTCTTCAGTGCCTCAGGAACCTCTGCCAAGAATATAAGTAAGGCTTACTCTTGACCTTAGAAATCTGTCTCCTTATGAATTGACAGTTGGCTGTGCTCAGAAATTTGATGATGCACTACACTTTTAAGTGTCACAATAGGATTTGAGTTAGTCGTTTTAACTAAATAACCAGTAAATATAATAATATATAATATTGCTCCTGTCATGATTAATAACTATGGTGGTAAACTTTTTGTCTAGCCCCATCATCAGTTCAGAATCAAATATTTTTTAGTGACAACCCTCAAAATGAATGACATTTGGATCAGCCTAAGCTGCACAATGTGTTGATGATGACAAATCATAGCATGCTAAAATGCATAATGGATAAATCTTTAGCATGTTAGCACTGTCATCGTCAGCATGTTGACATACTGACACTAGCTTTAACTAAAATTTGCCAAAGCTGTCAAATTATTGAGAAGAAACTTTTTAACTGGAAACTATTTATTTATTTACTTACTGCAAATTATTTATTTTACACAGCATGAACAGTAAGAAGTAGAGTTTCATAGTTAATTATCTTTGAAATAAATACTTCTTAAATGTACAAATCCAAAATAGTATCACTTAACAAATACCTGCTGAATTACCAAGAACACATTCCTCCCCTCTCTTATATCCTTTTCTTTTTTCTTTCATCCCTTTTCCCCAGTAAGACACCAGGGCCAAATTCAGCTCATTCTGTGACTGCATGCTGACAGATTCAACAACCCTCAGATCTGTGTCAAGCAACTATTTCATTAACTTCTGCAAACTGGGGGCAGAAAAGAACACCTCCAGTGTGTTCTGCAGGGTGCTAGTCATATTGACTGGTAATGAGCTGACTTGATTTCCTCCCCAATGCTGTCATGCCTGACACTTACACAAAAAGAACATAATCCATGATGGTTTGAGCTATGGAATCTAAGTTTACTTCACAACCAGCAGACCGACACATGTTGGGCACACCTGCTGTAAATCTGACATTCTGTAAACATTCAATCTGCTGAGTATTCCTTTCAGTATACCCATTTTTTGTTTGCTGAATGCTGTAAACATGCACCCACTTCTTAAACAACCTACTGTTTACACAAACAAATGGGCCCACAGTGCAAACACTGGTGTCTACAGTGTGTCACTAAAAGAAGACATGAGTAAACTACAAAAAGCTACAAACACATGTATTCATGTGTGCTCCTTCAAACACACACAAACAAGCTGTCTATCTTAGAGCAAAAACCACAATTCTCAAATTTCCTTAAGTCCCATGTTTGAACTAAGATTGAGGGATTTTATAGTTCCTCAATGAGTGATTTGTCAAACTTAGAAAAAGTTGTTTTGTTTTTACTTTTTTATCTATCAAACTCTGTATGTGGATTGTTTGGTACTGTGTTTTTTTTTGTTGGAGTGACTAGGCACAGCAGTAAAAGCTCTTGCCATAGCTGATGTGTGTGGAAGGCTGGGCTAGTATGTGGACACTAAACCGTAAGGATCTTCTGAAGCAGAGAGAATCCTGAAGAAACCGTTCCATGATACAATACGATATGATATATAAGGTTACGATCAGGTATGATGCATTTTATTATCCCCTTTGCAAATGTGTCCTAGACAATCCAAAATGAGAGATCAGCTGACTCCTTCTAAATCTTCTACTTCTTGTAGCTCTTTTAGGCTGACTGCACGGGTATACTCTGCAATTCCCTTAAATACTTGGTGCTTTTGTGTGAGAAATAACTTAGGTGCTATTAGCATTAATCTATGTTGTTTCATTTAAAATAAATATAACTTTTAAAAGTATTTCCTAACTTTTGCACAAAGGAAATGATTAACTATATACTATTGTACTATATATTGTATTTTTCTGATTCTTCTACTAACAGGCTTTAATAGAAATCATCTATGTGAGGTTAGAAGTCCACAGTCAATTACACTTAACAATGAGAAAGACAAATGTTATTCAAATGTTTTATTTAGCACTCAAACATTGTTTTGATGGTCTGCAGCTGTGAGTTCCTCCTCTTTTCCCATAATGAATGTTTTATGGTTATGTTCAGGCCCTTACTCCGTGCACTTGGTGAAGTTTGGAGAAAGAATGGGCCTACGTAGTTTTTTGAATAAGTCACAAGTGATTTGAAGCATGACACAGGGTGTGTTTATTTACTTACTTACTTTTAATTGAAACCACAATCTTCCTCTTATTAAAAACAGTTTATTGCCATAATCTAGCCGTTTTGCTTGGCTGCACTGTGTTTGCCTTCCATTAACCTCAAACAACCTCTTTATATCTTCTTCAGTTTCTAAAACAACATGACAGATTGTGATTACATGTTCTTTAAAATACATTGTAGTATGTAAATGCAAATTTTAGTGACTGAGTTATTCAAAGTCTGCTAATATTTTTTTCCAATGAGAACTCTAATGTACTCAAACCATGTTTGCAGCTACTATATATAGCTTCAGTCTATACCATCATTTACATAACTGTCTTAAACTGCAAAGTGATCTGTGGATATGGCTCAGAAAGCTGAAACAACCTAGACTTTTTGCAGTGTGCACACTACCTTGCAGGGTGTTTCCCCCTCCTGTGTCTCCTAAGAGCACAGTTAATGACCCGGTTACTCCTCTGTTAAATAACCTCTTCCTCCTCATTTCCACTTGCAGTAGCAACTTAATGTTCTTCTCGGTCTCCCTCTGTCTGTCTGTGTTTACTGTAGCCACCAGTCTTTGGCCTATCTTTTTTTTTTCTCTGTCTGGCTTTCCAGACTTCACTCAATTGCATTAAGCTTTGTATCATTAGAAACCTGGTAGTATTTTTGAATGGTCGTGCATTCCGCCCTCATTTTCCCCTGAGATGGGAAATCTTTGTATTTCTAAGTCTAAAGAGCAGCTTCCAGTGACGCAAAATTATGATTTTTGCCT